TCTGCTTTCAACTTCATGCCCTTGCATGTTATATACCTCTATGCATCCCTTTCTCCCACTTATCTACCAGATGAACTCCTACTTATCCCTCAAAACCACTCAGATGTTTTCTTTCCTGGAACAAAAGTGTAAACTCAGCCCTGGCTGGTTTGACTCAACAGTTAGAGCATCAGCTCACGGACCAAAAGGTCACAGGCAGGGCTATGCAATTGGGGTCGTGTGGGAGGCAACCAATTGATGTGTCTCTCTCCCATAGATGTTTCTCTCTGTCTCTCTCGCCTCACCCCCACCCCCGTGCCACTCTATCTAAAAGTCAATGGAAAAATATCCTTGGGTGAGGATTAACCAAAAAAAAGTATAAATTCAATTTATCCAGAACCCATTCATCCCTCCCTCTTCTGTGCTCTCATAACACTCTCTACATACATTGATTTTTAAAAAATATTTTTAAATTGATTTTAGAGAGAGAGGAAGGGAGAAGGAGAGAGAGATAGAAACATTGATGAGAGAGAACATTGATTGGCTGCCTCCTGCATGCCCCCCACCGGGGACCAGGCCCACATCCTGGGCATGTGCCCTGACTGGGAATCAAACTAGCAACCTTCTAGTGCATGGGTTGACACTCAACCACTTACTTAACCTCTTAGGGTCTTTGTTTTATTATCCTTGAAATGAAAGGAAATCAAATGTTTGGCGAGGATAAACGATGGATAATGAATGTAAAACAAATGCCACCATTATTGACTCAGTTGCTGAAGCCCAAAATGGGCAATTGTTCAAAATTTCCACTTACCCCTCTCCCTTTTCCCCTCCCACAGGTAACCAGTCACCATGACTTATTGAATCTGTCTGAGAACCTTGGTAAGAAACTGTTACTAGTGAATTTCCATCAGAGCTGTCAGGAAGGATGGGAGGCAAAGGGTACTGGAGGTGGAGATCTTGTAAAAACAAGAAGCAGGAGGAGAGATTAATGGGGACATAAGTCACAGAGGGAGTAGATAAGGGATCCAGAAGAAGGGAGAGATCAGGATGGGTCCTGGGAACATAGAAACCATTCAGTTGGTGCCCTCAAGGAGCTCATAGTCTGCTAGGGAGACACACAGAAACACAATTTTGTACAGAACCAAGCTGTGGTGTATCACTATTTCCTTCCTTATATCCCTTCTTTTTCTGGCTTCCAGGATACAGTTCAAATCGCCAGGCTTTCTAATCTTTTTGGCTCTCTTTCTCAGTTTGGTTGGCTGCTTCTAGTTTTCTTAAATTCTGAACTTTGAAGGAAACTATTTTCCATCTACACACACTCCTTTGTGGATCTCATGCAGACTCATGGCTTTAAATACCATCTATGTGCTGATGACTCCCAAATTGATTTCTCCAGCCTAGCTCTCTTTCCTTCAGACCCATATGCCCCTCTGCCCCCTCCACATCTCTATTCTAATGAACATCTCAAAATGAATACACCCCAAAATGACCTCCAGATAATTCCCCTCAAAACTAACACTTCTCTTGTCTTTTCCATCTCAAGAAATGGCAACACCAGTCTTCTAGTTATTCAGGCCAAAAATCTTGGCTCCTTTCTTCCCCTGATACTCTATATTCAGTCTGTCAGCAAACATTGTTATCTCTACCTTCTAAATATAGTTGACTCTTGAACAACATGAGTTTGAACTGCATGGTCCACTTATATGTGGATATTTTTAGTCAATACCAGTATTTTTTTGTTTTTGTTTTCTTTAATCTTCAACTGAGGATATTTTTCCACCGATTTTTTCAGATAGAGTAGGAGGAAGGGAGGGGGAGAAAGAGAGAGAAACATCAATGTGGAAAGACATATCGATTGGTTGCCTCCAACACAACCCTGAGACTCTTCTTCGGTCTGTGGGCCAACATTCCAACCGCTGAGCCAAACCAACCAGGGCCTAGTACTGTTTTGTTTGTTTGTTTATTTTAATCCTCACCTAAGTATATTTTTCCACTGATTTTTAGACAGAGGAAGTCAGGGAGGAAGAGAGGGGAGAGAGAGAGGAAGAGAAACATCCAAGTGAGAGAGACACATCTACTGGTTGCCTCTGGGCCTGGGGATTGAACCAGAGCCTTGGTACTATTTTTGATTCACTTTTGGGAGTCCACAAATTTGGAAGGCCAACTATATGCATTGATCTATATAGAGGACTTGAGCATTTGTGGGGATTTTAGTATCTGTGGGTGGAACCAATCCCTTGCAGATACTGAGGGACAGTTTAAGTTTTAGGGGAGTCAAAAGTTATATAATTTTCAGCTGTGCAGGGGTCAGTGCCCCTAAGTCCTGCATTTTTCAGCGTCAACTGTATATTCAAAATTAAATCACCTCTCATCCCCCACCCCTGGATTATTATAACAGGCTCCCAGTTGGTCTCCCTGCTTATTCTATTGCCCCTCCTAAATCTATTCTTCATAGAACAGCCTGTTATGAACACCTATACATCAAGAGGTCACTGGTTCGATTCCCAGTGGGCCCAGACATGCCCAGGAGGTGGCCAATTGATGTTCTCTCTCATCGATGTTTCTATCTCTCTCTTCCTCTCCCTTCATCTCTCTCTCTAAAATCAATAAAGAAAAAAAATTTAAATAAATAAATAAAATGAAACCTCCCCCGACAATGTTTTATTCCCACTTTTCTGATTTATTTTGTCTCCTTAGTATTTACTACAATCTTTTTAAAAATATGATTTAAGCCCCGGCCCGTTTTGCTCAGTGGTTAGAGTGTTGGCCTGCGGTCCAGAGAGACCCCGGTTTGGTTTCCGCTAAGGGCGTGTACCTTGGTTGCAGTTTGTCCCCGGCCCTGGTTGGTCATGCGGGTGGCAGCCACTCTATGTGTCCCTTTCACGTCGATGTTTCTCTCTCTCTCTCTTCCTCTCCCTCCCTCCCACTCTATATGAACAACAAAAAAATGAAAAAAAAAAATGATTTAATTGATTTTAGTGAGAGAAGGAGGGAGAGGGAGAAACATCCATCAGCTGCCTCCTGCACACCTCCTACTTTGGATCCAGCTGGCAACCTGGGCATGTGCCCTGACAGGGAATCAAACCAGTGACCTCTTGGTGCATGGGTCAATGTTCAACCACTGAGCCACATCAGCCCAGCTGCAATCTTTTAAAAACAATTTTTTTTTTCTTTATTGATTTTAGAGAGTGAGGAAGGTTGGAGAGAGAGAGATAGAAACATCGATGAGAGAGAACATCAATTGGCCGCCTCCTGCATGACCCCCCTGGGGATTTGGCCCACAACCTGGTCATGTGCCCTGACCAGTAATCGAACCAGCAACCTCTTGGTGCGTGGGTCAAGTGCTGAACCACTGAGCCATACTGGCCAGGCCTGGCTGCAATATTTTTCTTTTTCTTTATTGTTTATCTCATTAGGAATGGAAACTCCATGAAGAGAGAGATTTCTTTAATCCTCACCCAAGGATATATTTTTAATTAATTTTAAAGAGAGGAAAGGAGGGAGAGAGAGAGACATCAAAGTGAGAAAAATATTGATCAGTTGCCTCCCTCAGGCACTCCCACCAGAACTGAACCCACACCTTAGGTATGTGCCCTGACTGGGAATCAAACCTGCAACCTTTTGGTGTACAGATGATGTTCCAACCAACTGAACCACCCAGCCAGGGTGAGAGAGAGGGTTTGTTTTTTTTTTGTCTGCTTTGTTCAGTATTGTCTTCCCACTATTTAGAATGTTGACAGGCATATAGTAAGGCACTCAATAGGTATTTGTTGAACGAATAATGAAAAGGATGGACATTTCCAAGAGGCAAATTTTACTCTTTAATGAAAAACTTTATAACAAGCAGAGTTGCCAGGCTGGTGTGGCTCAGTAGACTGAACATCTTCCCATGGACTGAGAGGTCCTGGTTCCATTCCTGGTCAGGGCTCATGCACAGGTTGCAGGCTCAATCCCCAGTAGGGGGCATGCAATAGGCAGCCGATGGCTGTTTCTCTCTTTATCTGAAAAATCAATTTAAAAAAATAACAAGCAGAGTTGCTTGAAAATGTAATCATGTTGATATGCACAGTACATGACCTTTTAAAGACGTTATCTCATCAAACTTCACATTAGTCCAGTATAGGAGGAAGGTTGGGCAGAGATTATGATGCTGGTTGAAGAGGAAACAGTCCAGGGGGAAAAAGGACTTGTTAAAGGTCACACATCTTGCTGGGGCAGGACTGTATTTTTGGATTACTGGCCCTGCAAGAGGTTGATGTGTGATGGAGCTTAATGGGAGTTGGGTTCGAAAGACCACTTGCCAAAAGACATGAGAATCTCTGAAAGGGAGGGTGAGTCAGAGGTCACAAGAACAGGGACATCAGCAAATGAATGGAAGAGATGACGAGGCTGCCCGCTGAGCGAATTTGGCCCTGGTCTGGAAAGGGCAGCTGAATTCCTCTGCTGCTGAGGAATCCAGCTGTGCCTGAGGCCAACTGGTCACTTAAGCCCTTTCATAATCTCGAATTCAGAACTGGACAGACCATCTTAAGAGACAAGTGAGACCACTGCTGGTCTGCAGAGTCTTGCTTCCCCACAGGCCAGTGGGGAAGCAAGAAGCTATCCTCAGCTTCTTGCAGAGCCTGGATTATAGTAGGAACTCAAAATATTTCCGCTAGGACATACATTAATGAATGTATGCGCCAAAGAGGAAACTGGGGGTGGGAGAAGACAGAAACGACGTAAAACCACCCAACGATTCTGGGTTAAAAGCAGATTAATTTTCCTAGTACACAGCAGAACAGGCCCACTACTAAAACAGGTGGCACCCAGCTATTGTTCTGCAGAGGTTGGCAAGCAAAGACAGTCCGTAAGCAGAGAGGCGGGGTTAAATGGAGCCGGAGGGTAGCGGGGCTGGGCAGACTGGAAGGGCTCATTGGATGAGTTTCAAGGCGGGGCGAACAGAGTAGGCGCGACAAATTTCCAACAATGGTGTGTAACGTCACATCCGGTCTGGTGGGCGGGAGCAGGAAACAAAAAGAGGCCAATAACGCATGCGTTTGGTGTGTCCCGGATTCTGGTGGGTCCTTCCGCCCATGCGGAGAGAAGTGCTTCCGGGTCGCTGCCGGCTGCCGCCTCCCGGTGCGGTAAGTACAGAAGCAAGGCTGCGTCTGCTGTCTCTTTGTCCCTTCCTCCCTACCCCAGAGAAACCCCGTTCCCCTGACCCGCCTCCTCCGGAGCGCCGGGTTCAAACCTCTTTCAATATTAAAGAGCGCCAGATCATTGGCCGCTTCCGCGAGACCAAGCCCCACCCCGTCATACAAAATCCGTCACTCATTGGTGTCACTTCTTGTCACCCAGCATTTCTTCCAGTTAATTGGCTCTATTCAAGCCCCGCTCCTTTCGCTATTAGCAACCCTATAAGGGTAATGCCTCTCCGAGTCCCGCCCCTGCCTTATTCCTGTTGGTCAACCTCACCGTCATTATCATAATAATCAAAGAATGGGCGGTGGCTTTGCGGAGAGTGGGCTTTCGAGCCTGGGTCTCTGTGCCTCTCAGTACTTCTGGGACTTGATGGTTGGTACTGTTGTACCTGTTGTGGTCTGGGAAGCTCATGTCCACAGAAGGGCAGGGCTGGCCCCGAACCAGTTATATAAATTAGGGCAAAAGCAGAACTAGACCTAGATCCTTTTTTCCTGCTTATCGCTAGCACCCGGACCGGATCTGTACCGTGCGGGAGTTCGATGCCTCAATTCACTGTGTGCCCTAGAGCCCAGTCGTTGTCTATCGCTGGGCCTCAATTTTCCTGTGAGCCGAAAGGTTTTGATTCATATTCCCTGGGACCTTCCCGGTCAGCTCCTTCAGCTGCTTAATCCAAGCTAAATTTACTTGTTCTCACATGTTCATCCATTCAACCTCCCTTCTACTTATTTATACATTTACCCCTGTCTTTAGAATGTCTTACTGAACTATAGTTGCATGTGCCCCCCTACACCCCAATTTGGCTGTGTTTTATGAGAGAGGTGATTAGTGTCCTAAATTTCTGATACTGGGTAGATATGTATGGATAATCATAGAGGGGCAAAAAATCGGTCTTAGTGTTTGTTGGAGATAGAGAGTTTAGCAGAGCCCTGCTACCTCTAATTTTGTAATGTTAGTCTGCATTTTGGATTCCTATCTCTACATTTGGCTTCCATTCTCTTCCCTCTTTGAACAACTTACAAACAGCTTTACTTATCCATAAAGGAAATTACCTTACTTAATGATCAGAATAACTGTTAGGATGGTGTAATTGTTATTATTCCCATTTTACAGATGAGGATACAGGCTTGGAGAGGTTAAATGACTTGGCCAAGATCAAACAGCTAGTTAAGTAATGGAGTCAGTACTCAAACCCAGGTCTCTCTGACTCTCACAGGGACAGGTTGCTTTTCTGCTCCCTTCCACTTCACCTCACCATCAAATCAAATTGTAACCTAAATAAAAACCCAAACCAAACACATCTGAGAGCTGGATTCACCTGACCTTTTCTCTCAGTCTAGGAGCCATGTCCACCTTGTTTCCCTCCCTCTTCCCCCGTGTGACGGAGACTCTGTGGTTTAATCTGGATCGACCTTGTGTGGAAGAGACAGAGCTGCAGCAGCAAGAACAGCAGCATCAGGCCTGGGTGAGTGAGAACCTAGCACAGTGCTGGAGCCTCAGGGATCCCCCTTCACTGGCCATGACTCAGCCTTATTCTGGAGACCTACCCTGGAGAAGCTTTTTGCTTTGAGCTGAGAATAATCAGACTGAGAGTTGAGGGGAGTGGGGTATAGGTTCTCCTTTTCTTTTTTTTTTTATCCTCACCCGAGGATATTTTTCCATTTTTTGTACAGATAGAGTGCGAGGGAGAGAGAGGAAGGGAGAGAGAGACAGAAACATCGACGTGAAGGGACACATCGAGTGGCTGCCACCCGCACAACCAACCAGGGCCGGGGACAAACTGCAACCGAAGTACGTGCCCTTAGCGGGAACCGAACCCGGGTCTCTCCGGACCGCAGGCCGACGCTCTAACCGCTGAGCCAAACTGGCCAGGGTTAGGTTCTCATCTTTGTGTTACCCTAATTTGCTGGGGGAACATGGGACCTCTGGGCCAGGTTGGAGCCCAGCCTCTTTTCCCTAAAGCATGGGAAATAACAATTTTGAGTATTGAGGACCTAGCAGCTGCCGTGTTCTAGGCTGATAATCTCTCACTTCACCCTCACCATAATCTCATGAGGAAACCAAGGCCCAGAGAGTTTATGTAATTGAATCAAGTTCATAACTAAGTTGCAGATGACAGGAGAGAAAGGGATTAACTCTTCCTGAGAACTGGAAGGAAGCTTTTCCTTCACACTTGGGGGGGTCTTCTTGTGGGCAGAGTGGTCCAGTCCCATGTCCCTGACCTTCCCTGCTTGGGCCCTGGACCTGCTTTTCTTCCCCTTTGTTCACAGCTCCAGAGCATTGCAGAGAAAGACAACAACCTGGTACCTATTGGCAAGCCAGCCTCAGAGGTGAGTGGGGCCCAGGGGGACTAAAGTTCTGCTCTAATTCGAATTTTGAAGATCCTGTCTCTGACTCCAGAGCAATTGTCATCCTCAGCTCTGGATGGAGGCCAAAAATGGGAACTATAGAGGGTGGGCATTGAGCCCAGAACTAAGGTCCTGCGGAATATGCACCAAGCAAGGAAGGGTTGGGGAGTAGGGATCATTTGTTGAATCCAGAGACGGGCTCCAAGTGGGCCAACCCTTGAACTAGTCCAAGGCCTGTAGAGTCTCTAGGCTCTCTCCTGCCTCACCAGCACTATGATGATGAGGAAGAGGAGGATGAAGATGATGACGAGGATAGTGAAGAGGACTCAGAGGATGATGAGGACATGCAGGACATGGACGAGATGAATGACTACAATGAGTCACCTGATGATGGAGAGGTCAATGAGGTAGGCAGGGGTGTGGGGAGGGCCTCTGCTCCTGGGCCCCTGCCCCTGACCTAATCGGTGGCCAAAGGATACAGAGACCCTAGATCTTGCCAGAAGCAGGATCTGGGACTGGGGCTGGCTGGGTGGCTGAGGCCCCTCCCCACCCACACCCAGCCTCCTCTCCAGGTGGACATGGAAGGCAACGAACAGGATCAGGACCAGTGGATGATCTAGGTAGACAAGGCAGGGTGGCTTCAGGGAGATTCCAGGCCAACCCAACCTACCCTGTAACTCCTGCAGAACCAGCTGATCACCCAGTGCCTGAAAGCTCACCCTCAGGCACCTTCTCAGCTGCTGCTAGGACCTGGTCTCCTTGGCCCCTCCCAGGCCATCAGCCTGCCCTTGAATCCCCAGGACTTGAACCCACCCTACCTTTCTGGCCAATACCTCATCCCTTGGTTGTCAGGTGTAGTTTCTTTCTAACTCTCTTTAATAAAGACACAGGACTGATTTTTCCCCTCATGTCTATTCCCTATTTGTTGGTGGGGCCCAGAGGAATCCAGCATCTTCTCTTGAGCTTTGGGGAGAGGGTGTTCAAGAGACTTCAGGCAAACCTACCTGGCCATGTGGGCCAGGGCTAGAGAAGGCCAGGAAGAAGGCCTGGGCTCAGGCTCCATTGCCATCTCCTCGGGCCCAGCTTGCACCAGCCATTCCTGCAGGGCTTATAACTCAGAGTTTACTCTTTCTTTTAATCCAATCCACAATGGCCAGGGAGGGCAGGCTTTCTGAGGCCCAGAGCTGGGAACTCCCTAGAGCTCTCCCAATCAGTTTTTTGGTGTTAAGAGAGCAGATTAAGTCTCAAAGCAGGGCAGGGACTCCACTGGAGTCATCCAGCCAATCAGTGACAGAGCTGGGATGGGAGCTCAGGCCTTTTGCCTGTCAGTTCATGGCTTTTTTTGGAAGGAGGGGGACCAGTGGGACCAAGCAGCCTGACAGAACTTGATGCCTCAAGTGAGTAGGGCAGAGGTAGGAGAGCCTCCCCAACCCTGAGCTCAGCATGTGTCAGGCCACAAGCAGGGAAGGGAAGGGATATTCTGAGGTCCTTGCTAGGGTGGGGGTGGGGTAGGGCAGCAGTAAGTACTCCTGGGTCTGGACCTCAGCCAGGTCCTGCGTAAGTGAGCTGGGCTATGCCGTCCTTGATGGCAGGGAAGTCTGGGAGGCCAGTATGGTGGAGGCGGCAGCGGTAGCGGCCACAGCTCTTGGCGTACTGCAGGAAGCGGGGTGCACCAGGGAAGAGCACGTGGTCAGCCAACACAGTGGCACCAGCTGGCAGCAGGGCATGAGCCTCCAGCAGCTGCAGGTCCCTCAGGTAATAACGGGGTCGATGTGCCAGGAGAACCAAATCTGCCCGACTCAGCTGGTACTGGCTTCGTAGGCGTGGGATCACCTCCTCTGAGCTACCCACGATGAGCTCCACCTGTGGGGGTGGGAGGAGTTGGAGGTGAGGGTGGGACAAACCAGGGTAGTCTCTCACCAGGCCCTGGTCTAGATCCCCACCAGTGTTCTCACATTTTCTCTGATCTTAGAACCCAATAAGTCAGGATCAATATTGTGATTTCTATTCAGCCAGTGAAGAAGCTGAAATTCAGAGGATAAGTGTTTTGCCCAAGGTCTCATAGCTAATAAGAGACAGACTAAGGTCTGGACCCAGGTTTGCTGGGCTCCAGAGACTTTCCTCTTAACTGCTTCTTTATCATTCAGCAGCAAATATGTGCAAATGACTCAGAACAGGAGTTCATACAGCCTCCAGGATCACAGTTCCCTAAGTGGAGCTTCTTCCTTCTCCTAGGTGGGATTCCCCCATGGGGGAGGCCTGGCCAGGATAAGGCTGAGGAAAGAAACCAGGGTTGGGGAGGTGGGGGCTGACCGTGCGCTCGTCGAAGCCAGCCAAACGGATGAGTTTTTCAGCCACCACTGCCGTGCGTGGGTCCCGCTCTACAGTGAGAAGGCGACTCCCAGGGGTCAGGGCACGGGCAATAAGCAGTGTGGAGTACCCACAGTAGGTGCCCAGCTCCAGCACACAAGCAGGGGCCTTCTCTTCCACCATCCGCATCAGGATCTGACCTATTGGGGGAGATAGCTATTGCAGCAGACATGGGAGATGGGTTGCAGGCCATAGAAAGAGATCTCAAATGCCCACCTATCTTACTGCAGCTCCCAACCAGCTGGAGTCTTACCTCTCTTGAACTAGAGTCCCAGCTGCCCCACTGGTCCCCCTGCTCCTCCAGGCTTGCCTCCTTCGATCTAGTCTTCATACCAGCTACTAAGAATCTTTCTGCAAAAATAATCTGACATGCCCTGGACGGTTTGGCTCAGTGATTAGAGCATTGGCACATGGACCAAAGTGTCACGGGTTCATTTCCTGATCAAGGGCATGTTCCTGGGTTGAAGGTTTCATCCCCCGCCTGGTCAGGGTCATGCTGGAGGCAACCAGTAGATGTGTCTAACTCACATCTGATGTTTTCTCTCTACCTCTCCCTCCCGCCTTCCACTCTATCTAAAAATCAATGGAAAAATACCCTCCAGTGAGGATCAACAAAAAACAAACAAACAAAAACAAATCTGACACTATCAGTCCCTGGTTCCTTGATCCTAAGGCCTTTGGAACTGAACTTGGGATCCTCAGCCTGACATTCAGGACCTTCTTAGAACTGATCCTATCTCACTTTTCCAGTTTCAACTCTCAGTTCTTCCTACCTGTAGCTTGTACCAACCACAGCCATCCCAAACAACTGTGCCCAGGGTCAACCATTCTGGCTCATTCCTTCCTGCCACATTTGTATATGTGGCAGGCTTTGCCCTTCCCCAACCCTATCCTCACCTGCCTGGCTAACTTGAAAGCAGTCCTTCTAGGCTCAGTTCAACTGTTGCTTCCTCCAGGAAGGTCCAGGCAGAAACAACCACCAAGCTTCTGAGAGACCATCTTCCAGTCTCCCGAGAGAGCTTTACTAGAACTTCCAGTTTCATTCCCCCTTATTTGTTCATTCATTGGATATCTTTCTAAACTTCAAATTGGAACAATTTCTTTTTTTTTTTTAACTTTTTTTTCTTTATTAATTTTTAGAGAGGAAGGGAGAGGGAGAGAGAGATAGAAACATCGATGAGAGAGAACATCGACTGGCCGCCTCTTGCATGCCCCCCACTGGGGATTGGGCCCACAACCTGGGCATGTGCCCTAACCAGGAATAGAACCGGCAACCTTGGTGCATGGGTTGACGCTCAACCACTGAGCCACACCGGCCCGGCTGGACCAATTTCTTAAACAAGACTGAAAGCACTTGTGCTGGGAGCTGGGACTCAGACAAATCCAGGCAGACAGCTCCCATGAATGGATGTAGGAGCCTCCGTGGTTGGGGAGAAAGAAATTACAAAGTTACAGGTTATGCCCGGTTGGTGTGGCTCAGTGGTTGAGCGTCGACCCATGCATCAAGAGGTCACCGGTTTGATTCCTGGTCAAGGCTATGCCCAGGTTGTGAATCCAATCCTCAGTAGGGGTCATGCAGGAGGCAGCCAGTCGGTGTGCTCTCTCATCGATGTTTCTCTCTCTCTCCCTTCCTCTCTCGCTAAAATCAATACAGAAAAAAATACAAAAAAACAAAAAACACAAAGTTATGGGTTATGTGCAGTGATGGTTATTCCCCTGTGTATTAAGCCCCCTTTGAGGCCCACATCTGTGGCTGACTCATCCATGTGGTCTCTAATTTCTTCTCCCCCAGCACCCAGCACATGCCTGGTACCATAGAGGTGGCAATAGCCCTGGCCATTTTGGCTCAGCGGTTAGAGTGTCGGCCCGTGGACCAGTGAGTCACAGGTTTGATTCCAGTCAGGGACACATACCTTGGTTGTGATTTGTCCCCAGCCCCGGTTGGAGTCATGCGGGAGGCAGCCACTTGATGTGTCCCTTTGGCGTTGATGTTTCTCTCTCTCTCTCTCTCTCTCTCTCTCTCTCTCTCTCTCTCTCCCCCTCCCACTCTATCTGAACAAAAATGGAAAAATGTCCTTGGGGAGGATAAAAAAAAGAAGTGGCAATAAATGTTTACTGGATGAATGAATAACTTTGCCCAGACCCCTCATTTCTGGAGGAGACAAAAGAGACCTGCCCAATTCACCCATTAAGGCAGTGGCAGATCCCAGCTCTTCCTTCACTGTCTTGGGGAGTCCTTCCTAGAGCAGAATGCTAGGGAACACTGACCTTTGACAGGCCCCATGTGGCTCAGGTACTCGCAGTGGCTGCTCCAATGGTCCAGGGTGGTGAGGATGTGACCAGGGTCCCCAGGCAGAGCATGGGTGAGCACATAGCTGAAGGCCCGCTCCTCAATTCGCAGCCCTGACAGGCAGTCTCGGAGGCTCCGCAGCAAGACTGTGCGCACCAGAAGTCGGAAATGGTGCCGGTACCGCACCAGCAATGTCACCACCAGTGGCAGGAAGGCTAGCGCGATAGCAGGAGACATGGTCCCTGCCTGATTCCTGGGGTGGAGGGAGGCAGTGAGGGAAACTCACACCAGACATTTGCCTGTCAGTGCAGCCCTTACCAGTAGTCATTATTATCCCTATATTTTACAAACTGTGGCTCAGAAAGGCTAAGTCTTTTGTCCAGAGTCACACAGCAGAACTAGGATTTGAGTCTGATTTGGTCTGATCCCAAGCCCATGTACTTTCAAGGACTCAATGCTGTATTCAGAACCCAACCCCAAAACACCCCTTCCCACTCCAGCTCCTGGTCCCATCATCACCTTGCTCCCTTCACCCATTTCTCCTCATCTCTGTTGCTATCATTCTTCAGGACCCCTTTTACCAGTTCCCTGCTGAGATATCCTCCTGCCCTACCCCTGCCTGCTTGATCTCCTCTGACCCATTACTGTGTAGCAAAAGAACACAGCTTTACAATCAGAAATCCCTTCAGAACACTTAATCCAGATCTGGCCGGTGTTGCTCAGTGGTCAGAGCATTGGCCCACGCACCGAAGGGTCACAGGTTCCATTCCCAAAGGCACATGTCTGGGTTGCAGGTTCGAACCCCAGCTCCGATCGGGGCACTTGCAGGGGGCAACCAATCAATGTGTCTCTCACATTGATGTTTCTCCCTCCCTTCTGCTCTTTTAAAAAATAAAAAAAATATCCTCAGGTGAGGATTAACAAAACAAAACAAACAAACACAAACAAAAAAAACCACTTACTCCATAAAGTGTTAGGATAAGTCCTTCCCACCCCAGGACTTTCCCTCTGTGCTTCCTTGGGGGTGAGAAGTGTCCTTGAGTCTATTATTTCTTTTTCAGTCCTATCTCCCACACACACACACACATTCCCCTCTCCTGTTCTTTCTCAGAATTCCCTTCACGTGTGCATACACAAAGCAGACACTTTCTCCTCATTCAGCCCTCTTCCCCAAAACCTGCTTTGAGGGATAAGTTCCCTGTTTTCTCCCATGCCCTGGACCATCCGACCCTTACAAATGAAGCC